CAGTGGCATATTTCATCATTGGCATGACGGTGCTGTCCGTGTGTGCCATTGCCACCAACGGGGCACTGGATGCTGGAGGAGCCTACTGTATCCTTTGCTGTGGGTGCTGCTGGGGCAGAGCATGTGGATCTAAACTGGATGACACCCAGTGGCCTTGGGGTGCCACACTGAGGCTGTGGCCCCCTTGGCCTGGGAGAGAGGGATGGGGGTACTTGGTGGTGGTTTGGGCTGCAGGCATCTTCCCTTGACTCAAGTAAGATATGATCAGCCGTGCCCTGGGCCCGGAGTTCGGGGGCAGTATTGGGATCATGTTTTTCCTGGCCAACGTGTGTGGCAGTGCCCTCTATGTACTGGGGCTGGTGGAGGCAGTGGTGGACAGCTTTGGGATCCCCCCTGGTGAGTACCCCTGCAGGGGACAGCAGGCATCCCGTACCTGAGCAGCCCTAGCGCCGTACCAGGCATGTCAAGTACCACGCCTGGCATAGCCCAGGGCTCTACGAGCTTATCATGCCTGGTACAGTGCCAGTGGCTCTCAGCTCCCATTGATGCTCCTGGGCAGTGATGTCCCTCTGTGCCTTGCTAATTGTGGCTTGTCTCTACCCAGGGCAACAGGTGGGCACAGGTGTCCATGTCCTGCCCCAGAGCTACTGGTACGAGCTGCTGTACGGCACTGTGCTGCTGGCACTCTGCCTCCTCGTGTGCCTCGTGGGCGCCTCCATCTACGCCAAGGCCACCTTCCTTATCTTCCTCATTGTCGCGGGGGTCCTGGGCACCATCCTTGTCAGCTTCTTCGCCACACGGCCCCTCGGGGTGCCCATCCGCCTGCCCCGCTTCAATGGCTCTGAGATCGAGAACGGCTCCTTCACTGGCTTCTCCCTCTCCACCCTCAGGGACAACCTGGGAGGTGAGGAGAGGCTCTGCCCACCCTACCCACCATGGCACTAGCACTGAGGGTGGGGGCAGCTTGTGGGCACAAAGCAGGTGCCATGGAGTGGTTTCTCCTGTGGTTCCTGTATGGAGACATTGAGGAGAGGGCACATGGTGGGGCTGTGCTGCCCTGGACAGTCTGTCACAGACCCTGCCCATGTGTCCTGCAGGTGGGTATGGGGTGGACTACACGACTGGGCAGATGATGAGCTTCAGCTCTGTCTTTGCGGTGATGTTCAACGGCTGCACTGGAATCATGGCAGGCTCCAATATGTCAGGTAAAGGCAAGGGCTGCTGGGCAGTGTGGCACCAGGAACGGGAGCCAAGGCTGGAGGAGATGGGGGGGGTGGGAGTGGGGTTGTGCCTGTGGGCACTAATGCTGCCTGCTCCTGCCCACAGGGGACCTGAAGCGCCCGAGCTATTCCATCCCACGGGGCACCATCTCTGCTGTGCTCTTCACCTACCTCGTCTATAACCTGCTGGCTTTCCTCATGTGTGCCACCTGCAACAGGTATGGCCACCCCTCCCCTCACCAGGGCCCTCAGTGCCAGAGTGTGTTTGGTGCCAGGGCATGCTGGCCTGAGCCAAAGCAGGTGCTAGTGTGTCCTTGTCCCTCTCCAGGACCCTCCTGCAGAAAGACTATGGCTTCTTGCGTGACATCAGTATCTTCCCGCCCCTGGTCACAGTGGGCATCTATGCCGCTACCCTCTCTGCAGCCATGAGCAACCTCATTGGGGCATCCCGCATTCTGTATGCCCTGGCCCGGGATGATCTCTTCGGTGAGTGCCTGGAGTGCACTGGCACTCATTGGAGCCCACCCAGCAGGTTGTATCTGCTGGGGACCAACCCTGGCACCAGGGAGCTCCCTTCTGGTGTGGGGGTGATGCTTTGTGGGTCAGCGTGTGCCTATTTGGGTCACCTGTGTGCCCTGGAATTTTCCCTCACCCCAGCACCCAGGGTGGGGACAGGACTCCTGGCTGGTGGCCAAACCTGTTGGGGTGCCCCAGCCTAACTTCCTCTCTCTGCCTGCAGGCCGAGCCCTGGCACTTGCCAAGAAAACATCTGCTAGTGGGAACCCAGTGATGGCAGTGATTCTTTCCTGGCTGGTGGTGCAGGTGAGTTTGTTTGTGATCCTCCTTTCCTGACCTCACTGGGTGAGGGTGTATTGGTATCTGGGCTGGTTGTCATGGAGCCTGGCACATTCTCCTGCCCCTGGGGATTCTTCCTCCAGGCCCCTTGCCCCGGGTGTCATGCTGCGGTTGTGCCCTTCCCTCCCTGAGGTGGGAAATATCCCACGCATGAAGGATAAACCACAGCAAGGGGCAGGAATCCCTTTCCTGTCATACTCCTGGGGTATGCTCCAAGTGGACAGGGATGTCTCAGGCATATGTGAACACACACATCCCAGGCTGTGTGTTCACTCCATGCCCCCTGTGCTCTCTGCAGCTGGTGCTCTTCTCTGGGAAGCTCAACACCATTGCAGGGGTTGTGACCACCTTCTTCCTCCTGGTCTACGCCACTGTCAACCTGGCTTGCCTAGCACTGGAATGGGCATCGGCCCCCAACTTCAGGTACCCACTGGCATAGGGGAGAGAGGCTGTGCAAGATGCTTGGCAGGCACCCGTCTGTCCATCCATCTGTCTGCAATACCCCTGCCATCTTCTGCCTGGGCATTATGATGAGATGGTGGACAAAGATGCTGAACAGCCCTCTTCTGGGCATTAGAGAGGGCAGAGACACGCCATCCCTGAGGAGGGAGATGGAGACAGGTCCAGGCATGGCACTGGCTTGGCACAGTTCTCATGCCCTGGCACCACTTTGCTGAGTGGGTACAGATAAATGCAGCACCACCGGGTACCACCCGCCCCCTCCCTTTAGGTTTTGCGGTGGTAAT